GCATAGCGGTTCAAACTGTGAGAAAAAAGTAGCGGCTTATAGTCCAAAAAATACAATACTCTTATTATTTTGACATTATACATATATTTTTTTCTTGTATTATTTTTCTTTTTCTTTTCATCAACTTATTTTCTTATCATTTTTGTACAGCACTTTGGTACAAAGTGCTACACTTTAAAAACCGGTTTTTAAAGTGCTACATAAATAAATTTGGCATTGACATTGACAAAATGTATAAAGAATATTATTTTCCACAGTATAACTATTCTTGCACTTGCAGCGGTAAACTTTGGTTATTTATTCTTTATATGGATCAAAAACAAAATACCAGACTTTAAACATTACATATGAAAATAATCTAATTGTAATCACATTTTTATAGTCATAGGAATAACTCCTGTCTTAGTGTTTCAATTAAATGCAGCTAGAGTATTTTTTGTTTCAAGTCTTTCTAAATACAGTGCTTCTTGTTGAGGATCTTTTACTTTCCCATACCTACAACCAATTCCTTATTGCTTGAAAGATAAAATACCGGCTGTGACGTTGGCACAGGGGTAAAGCGTGACCAACGTATGGAGGCCTTAGTCCTCAATGTGGCTGTCGCAGGTTCAAGATCTGGCCTGATGACCTTTGCCACATGTCTTCTCCATCTCTGACAACCTGTTTTCCTATCTGAAAACTGTCAAATAAAGGCCACACAGGGGCAACAAAACCTTTAAAGAAAAAAAATACCGGTCCCTCCATGTTTTCTCACAGTTCAGGGTCTACAAGGAGACAATCACCCCTTTGCACGAGTATGTGTCTCACTCCCAATTTCTCTCTGTCACTTTGTCTAATAAACAGAACTTCCTGTGTCTGAGCATTTATAAACAGTGCAGAGAGAGTGCAGTGAGAAGAGACAACCCTTGCTAATGCTTTTGCACGTGACAACACGTAGAATAAACACCCGAGACAAGTGCTGTATGCAGTTGATGGTGGACGGCTGGGGGATTCTGGCTACAACCAAGAAAGCAGGCAAGAATGAACCCCAAATGAAATCATGCAGAGTTCCAACAGTATTGTAGCGTATGTGCGTCTGTGGGCCACACAGCTTCCCTAGGCGGGGTCGTCCATGGGTCGCCTGCGGAGGGCAGTTCCAGATGAAACATAAACAGCTGGTCTGTCCTCTTCTCCTCTCGCCTCTTTTTCTTCTCGGATGATGGGCCAGTTCCCCCAGCACGGCCCAGCACAGGGCTCCGCGGTCCAGGCAGAACTAATCTATCCCTCAGCTGTGCAGTCTAATCTAAACAAACAGATCTCTCCCTACCAGCATCTGGAACCCCTCATGCACTGGGACCAAGGAAACCACCAAAGCACTGTCTCCTTGTCAGTGTATGTGTGTGAGGAGGTCCCTTCTTGTAATCAAAGTGTGTGTGCATTTTTACTAATGTTTCCTAGAGATCCCTTTACCACCAGTACCTGGTTCACTTGAAATTAGCTTGATTTTATAAAGAAACAGACTGTTTGGTTGGGTTTGCAGTTTTAACAGTTTTTTTCATGGTTGCCTTAAGAACAACAATAAATGTTAAGCGTGCTTCAAAAACATGATGGAATGCAGTCATATCACAGTTGCTTAGTTGCATCAAAACACAGTAAAAGTTGTAGTGAAGAAGCCAGTTTGGTAATGAGTAAGGGTTACTTTTTATGACAGCAATTGTTAGTGTCAGATTTTTGACTGTGTGCATTGATTGAATTGTAGGCAAAAAAAATGCATTTAAATGTATGATATTAAATCACTTTTATTAGCCATTGCTACCAGACTATTCTAAGAATAAGCACAAAATTGTTTTCCTTGCCTCCTTTTGTTTCATATGCATAAGCAAACTACTTTGTGTCAATGTACATAACCACTAAGAGTCCATTTGTTTATCACAATAAGTACGGTAACTACAAAATGTTTAAATCTTACTCAGAAGTCAATTTAGTTGTACGGTATATTCTGAAAAATGTATGTTATACCCTTTTTCCATTGATTGTGATTCTAATTAAGGTAATCCATATGAGCTGAAAATGTTATCATATTTGGGGCATTTGAGGTGATTGCCTTTTTAGGCAAAAGATGCAATTTATGCACGGTGTACATTCACACAGTGTTAGAGAACAAAGAGCCTGCGAATAGCTCAAATCTGCAAATACCTGAGACCCATTTTAAAAACACTTGTACTTGCCAATTTTAATCGTTCAAACACAAAATATACCCTAATACACTTCAATCAGTACTATTAAAGAAGCTAATATCTGCAATCTTCCATATCCATTACCCTGGGGGAGGGGGGGGCACAGCCAATCAACACCAAGAACAAAGAATGACACTCCTGGAATACCAGCCAATAGCTTAAGTAACATTGCATCTAGGTACCTCACCATCCAAAGCTGCATTTTCTTTAAAATATTTTAGATATGCTCTACAAAAATAATCCACAAGTAGGTGAATCTACAAATACTAAAGCCTGAAAAAGCAGGGGTTCAAAAAATATTCTAAAAAATTTACCTTATTAAACTGGTTCCTTCATTCAAATCAATTAAAATCATACTTTGAAACACAAACAACATTCTTTTGATGTTCTCGTGAAAATAATGATGAGAAATGGTTCAAATCCCAGATGTTACAAACTCAACCATGCTGAAATTTTTGGGGATTTATAAACAACAACAATTAGAGTTTATCATTATTATGCCAGGATGAGTAATTGTGATTTTATTGTCTATGATAACTTTAAAAAATAGGTAATTGAATGAAAATTTCTATTTCTGATTTCCAGTGTCAAATGTAGTGAAATACAATAAACTATGACTCCTGTTCATATCAAAATAACTAAGCATAATCCTTGTGGTAAATAAAATCTGTTAAATTTAACTTATTTTCCCACAATGCAGTGCAGTAGACTACTGGCTTGATTTTAGAAAATGACTTTAAATTTTTGGTTGTAAAAGTTGTTATGGCAGGCGATTTCTTTTTGCATCAGAAACATCCATAAAACAACAGAAACTGCCAAATATTAAACTGCAAAGGAACACAGTTTTTCACGCTACTAATGTTCAAACAATAACATTTTTACTATTCAGCATCATTTCGACCAAATATATCCATTAAGTTTAAAACGCCTTATAATATGCAAACAGATCAGATTCTGACTACTGAAAAATATGGAAAGTGCACCAATAGTGCCAAAAAAGATTAATTTGCAGGAAAAATCTCATTTAGCAACAGTCATAGTAGAGCAACACAAAACTGTAGATCAATAAGTTGTCTGGAGTTGCATTAGTAGTAAATTTCAGCTTTCCACTTTTCTTTCTATAGGTTTTTGTTGAAAGAATCTAAACAAGTCATTTTAACATTTAAGACATATATGTCACCCTGAGTGTAGAGAATAAACCAAGAAAACTGGGTACCTGGTCAACTAGTGGCCTTTATAGTTTCAGTCGCTTTTATGTTTTTTATAGGTACTTTAGTAATATGCAGTTGCTTGTATTGTTTTTAGATATTTTTATATTCACTGGGTAATATTGTGTTGCTGTATAGTCATAAAAAGAGAATTCCCACACTGTAGGACTAAGAAAGGACTATTCATTCCCACCAAATGGACTTTCAACGCGCACCTTAATATCTGATAAATTAGTTATTTTCTTTAGTCTGCTTACAGTCTATAATAGAAAATACTATTATTAGACTCCAGTAGGAGGTTGATCATAGTTATGTTGGTTTTATCATAGGTCATAATCTGTCATATCACATATCAGTCAATAAGCAAAACTGGTTTACAATTGTATTAAATAGAAATATAGAACCATGCAAAGAAAATATGATAAATACATTGAATTATTTGTGAATGTTTAGCCTTACTTAAGATTTATCTTCACAATTTTTAAAAATGTCAGCAAATGTTTATTTTGCCTAAAGAAAAACATTAAAATGGCAGAAAGACTGAACAGATTTATCCTAACAGCTAAAATACATTTTCTATCACTCTGCCATAACATTCTGCATTTCCTGTAATGCCTTCTCGCCCCGGTCCTCCTGATCGTGGTTCTGGCATGTGAAAACTGTGTGATCCTCTGAGTACAATCAGGAATGTGTGTTTGAAGAGGCTACTTTATGCACAAACCGTGATCCAACTGCGCCTGCGCAATGCATTAGAAGACCACTGTCTGTCAGACCCCTGCAGCAGCATGCAAGGATGGACTAGGCCTGCAAGCCCAGGGGAAGAGGTCAGGAATCCGTCCGCTTTGATGCTTAAGCTTAAAAAACGTGGATTATTTTCACATAAAAAAGGAATGAAAGAATGGTATAAAGGTACAAAATGTATGCAAAAAAAAAAAATATATATATATATATATATAAATTTATATATTCAAATATACAGTTCAGTTCCAAATAGTAGATTATGTCTTTGAGCCATATGTACAGGAATGCAGATCAAAGAGGGAGAAAAAAACTCAGCCTCATGCCTTTACCCCCAAAGAACCACCCATGCATACACTCTCTTTCCCTCTTTTAAATTTCTTCATTTGCCTAAATTCTCTATAAGAAAACAAGAAGAAGACTGAGTGACACTTCCACCATAGCTCCTGTCCGTGCTCTGCTATTTCCCTGCAGCCAGAAACAAATCTTTTTGGAAAGTTGAGAGCTGTCCAAAACAGGACCACACACACGGCCTCTGAGCCTTCAACTGTTGGGGGCTGGCTCTCACACACACCAACACATACACACACTCACAAAATGGCGGCTTTGACAAAAATTTCCTCAACTCCAAGGGCTGCTTATGAGCCTAATTACAACCTTCTTCACGGGTGACGTTATTGTTACCTCTTGCAAATCCAACACAGTTTTGCTCGGCCACTTTCCAAGACACAAACTTTAAACAATTCTCCTTAAAGTCTTTATAGCTGGTGATTTTCGTACATACACTCAAGAAACTGTGCAACTGAGCAAAAAAGCCAATAGCCAAACATCGTCTTACCTTCCACCCAGAGTTTCTCCACGTCCGTTTCCAGATTAGCTGCCCTTAAACCCACAGCAAAAGCTCCAAAAATCATAAGGCCCACAACCAAAAACTTTCCACAGTTCTTTTGTATGTAACAGCCGAGCCTGAATAAAAATCTCTGGAACTTCGCTCTCAGCCACAAAGGTGCTTTCCTCCCAGTCGCCTTCCCCTGTGATAAGACAAGAGAATGAAGTTACTGCCAATGAAAGCAAACCGATTACACTTACCTGACCAGATAAAGCCATTGGAATACAGAAAAAGAGGTTATTTACACACATGATGTGCATAAAGTAACAAATTTTACCCATAAAAACACATCTGAGGGGGAGTTAACGTTGAGTAAAGATGCACCAATCAGACTTTTCCAGGCCAAAACAGTTGTTTTTTTTCTAATAACTTCAACATACAGAAGCAGAAAAGAAAGATCAGTTTTAGAAAAAAAATATCATATTTTGGTATCTGACCTGCTGATCACAGATCGGAGGTGATCAATGAAAAATTGATTACCTCAATTTTTCTGAGGCGAGCATACGAACGGCAACCACACGTCAGCATAATCTGATTTCTGATCCATTGATCAGCACATCTCTAGTCATTAGGATTCAATTTGATAGTGCACATGAAGGAATTTCTAAACAATAAATCCCTTATATTGCCCCATCCTGGAACATACATATCTGGTTTATTGGTTACACATAGAGTCCTGTCACTTCACAGCTGCAATAATAAGCTATGGATAGAGTGAAACTGAAGAGTTTGAAACTGGTTTCCAGCTGGACCTCCAAAGTCGATGGAGGTAAATGATGGGAAAGAACCGACAACTTGACCTGCATCATTTCATGAAGATCTGCAATTGTGTACAAACTGGTGTCCTACTATACAGAAATGGTTGACTCCAATAAATAATATCTACTAACAGGACATTATTTTTGGACTACTCAAGGGTAATAACCTATTGTATTGTACAAACGTGGACTATCCTTAATAACTAATTATTTTTCTCCAAATTTTTTAAATATACTTCACTAGAACAAAGAAAAAGAAGGACTTCGTCATTATTTATGTGTTGGGTACAAAATTATCTATTTACTGGTTCTGAATGGAAGTAGACTTCTGAGTGAAGGTCAATGCATGGCTATAAGAATATAGTTTCCAGCCAAATACTGCATCCAGTAACTTTTGTGATTCTAATATTGAACACACTGATTTTGTGATTAGATGTATCGCGCAGCTCTACTGTCAACTTATCATGATAAGTCTGTGGGGTTTTGACTTAATCTCTTTAGCCATTTTTATGTATGCCTTTAAAAGCCAAACTCAACAGGAGTTTTATATCTGAGAGCTTGAAACTTCAGTTATAAATACATGGCAGATATCCCACTGCACAGAGACTATTGTATTCTAAAGGGAAGCAGTCTATGAACTGTCCCTGGGGTGGCTTTCACTTCCACCGTTGCACGCCCCACACATCAATAGGTGATATTAAATACCCTGAAGAGTGCATGTGGTTAAAACCCACAAATACCACCACACACGCTCACACACACACACACACACACACACACACACAGACAGGCAGACAACCCTTCTCCCTGTGGAGCTGGCCGTGTGTTCCGGTCTGCATGGGGAGTGGAGAAGCCAACACAAGAGAGAGAGAGAGAGAGAGAGAGAGAGAGAGCGTGTGTGTGCGGGTGCGTGTGTGTGGTGTGTGTGTGTATGGGGGGCGGAGAAGGGGGGGGGGGGGGTTACTGGCAATATTTGTGAACGGAAGAGAACAGCCACATGGATTTTCAGAAGACTCATCCAAGCTGAGATACCTGTCAGAAAAATATATGTACAGCTGTCTTTCCAATGTTTAATAGGATAAGATGCAATGTTTTTGCCATGTGCGTTATTAGTTTGGATGCAATAGTTTCTGTATTGATAAACACAACAAGAAGCTTGTTTCACATGCGTTTGAAATAAAAATAAGCACCCCCCCCCCCCCCCCCCCCCTCGCCTCCCTCGTCCTCCTCTCCCTTTTTGTCTTCT